GCTCAAGGCACTCAAGTTGAAGCAGGTCGGACAAAGTGTGAGGGGTCCACATGTCTCCTGGACACCTCCGGCGGGCAAAGGCCAACCAGACATGGGATGGATGTTATGTACCACAGAGAAGCAATCATCCACCACCACTCTCTCTCTCTTTCTCTCTCTCCCCCCAGCACTTCCTCTGCATTCAGCTACTGCAGTAAACTGATTTTTAGTGAACTGATTCCGAGGAATAACTGACTGGCAGGGTGGGTGCAAACGTGACACAAGGACCTCAGTCTGGGCCATCCCCCCCACCCCGTGACTGTTTGGGGAAAATATTGGGGTTTGTTGGAGGGCGGAGAGTGTCAGATCCCACTCGCCTTTTCCTTGGCCACCAGGAGCCGAGACTTTTCCATGAGCGATTTTTCTGGGTTCCGATGGCCCGGTGTCCTTGGTTAAGAACATTTTAACCCCACAGCCACAAAGGATCGGTGGAGCTGCTGCTGCACCCCGTGTGGCTTTTTCGTCCGCCCTCTAGTTGCCCCAGAATCGTGCACTACCCAGCTCGCTGCGGTTTTACACTTTTGTCTAAAAGCAGTGCAGGTGTCTTAACAGAAGCTGCAGAGCCGAGCCAAAAGGCATGTCCTTGCAGAAAGGCTGTGTCCGCTCCATCACTTGATACAAAAAAAGGCAGAAAGATCTGGGGGTGGTTCGAGAGGTGTTCAGGCTTCTGAGTTACTTCTGCACGCACAGAGCCACACAAACAGGCACTGAATTCAGAATTCCAAGGGATATTTCAACCGAGCAGCAACTTCGAAAATGTTTCTTTAATCTTGGGAAATGTAACTGGCAACTGGCATTGATGTCTTACTTTCCTTCCCTTCCCATGGGACACAGTTGGCAACCCACACCATGTTTCTAATTGTCTAGGGCTGGAGTTCTCTCACCCCATATACCAATCAACTCTTCCACACCTTATTCACCCCAGTTTCTACCTCTCCAGCCAGCCTGTTTCCTCTTGTCTGTGAGAATTAAAGTGCTTTGCCCTGTTAGAGTTCTGGCCACAGAGTTCTGGATTCCACATAATTAAATACCAAAAAAGAAAGAAAGAACCTGAACAAATACAATCCATTATGGTGTCATAGAATCATAGAATAATGAAGTTGGATAGGGGCCCCATAAGGCCATCCAGTCCAACCCCCTGCTCAAGGAATCCAAATCAAAGCAGATCTGATGGATGGTTGGCCAATTTCCTCTTGAATGCATGGGTTCCATTATCGTACTGCTCTAACAGTTAAGAGGTTTTCCCTGATATTCAACCGAAATCTGCTTTCCTGTCACTTGAGCCCATTGTTGTGTGTCCTGCACTCCAGGATGATGGAGGACAGATCCTGCCCTTCCTCTGTATGACAACCTTTCAGTTATTTGCTGGGTCTACTAAAGCAGGTATGTTATTTGCTATCAAGTTGATCCTGACTTACGGCAACACTAGCAAGGGAATAGAGAAAGAATATGTGTGTTTACGTGGAGAGAGAGAGAGAGAGAGAGAGAGAGAGAGAGAGACCACACGAACAACAATGGGTTTGCAGGATGAGATACCAGTTTCCAAAACATATGAAATAATTACACGTGGTGCCACTGGCCCACTGAGTTTTCATGGCCAAGCAGAGATTTGAACCCAGGTCTTCCGTATGCTAGTCCAACCCTCTATCCTCTACTAGACTACATCCGCACAATCCCACACCCCTTGCAAAATCTATAATGGCAGGTGAAGCAGGACTTTAGGCCCACTTCAAATATTTTATAAGGGGGGAAAAAAGAGGGTTTCCCAACCCTCCCTGTGTTGAAACGGGAGGGCAGACGACTGGCCCTTGTTGCAACCCCTTCGCTTCACAGAACCGTTACAGAACAGGGTTCCTGTGGATGATGCGCGCCGTACGCCAGAGGCACCCTCCTGGGTTATCTATCCTTTCTGATGGCGCCTGAGTGGATCCGGCCAAGCCGCTCGAGAGCGCTGCCTTCCTCGGGGCTCTCCCCGCACGGCCAAGGGCCAAAAAGCTCGTTTCCAGGTGGAAGAGGCTCCCCATGAAGGTGACTTTGGTTCAGAGAGGCCATTCAGGAGGGACCAAGTCGCCTTTCTGAGCAGTATCACAGAGCCAAGCGGAGGGACCATCTGCTCCACGGAGAACAGGGCGTACGTACATACACACAGACCGGACAGCCAACAGGCGAGCCCAGGTGGCTGGGGATTTTCCCATCTTACCTTTCTGAAGCTTTGAGGCATTCTCCTCCAGCCAGCTGAAAAGGCCCGCAAAGTCACAATCGCACAGCCACGGATTGCCCTCCAAGCGGAGGGTCCGGAGGTTAGGCAGGGCGGCCAAGGCGGCCACGCTCAACGTCTGCAGGCGGTTGTCGTTCAGCTCCAGCACCTGGAGCTGCTCCAGGCTCTCGAAGGCCCCCTCGGCCACCTGGGCCAAGCGGTTGTGCCCCAGGCTCAGCTTGATCAGCTTCTCCGCCGACTTGAAGGCGCCGGTGGCCAACCCGGTCAGGTTGTTGTGGCTCAAGTCTAAATAGACCAGGTGGCTGGAGCTGCTGAAGGTGCCTTCCTCCAGGCCGGCGATGGAGTTGTTCCTGAAGTCCAGGTAGACCAGGTCGTGGTAGAAGATGAAGAAGTCGGCCGGGATCTCCTGGATGCTGTTGTCGGCGATGAGCAGCTTCCGCACGTCCAAGGGGAACGGGCTGGGGACGCGGGGAAGCCCTTGGTCGCGGCAGTCAATGGTGTGGTAGTCCAGGCAGCGGCAGGCGGCCGGGCAGCCGTGGCCCAAGGGCAAGAAGGTCAGCGAGAGGAGCGGCCACAGCGGTAGGCGGCCGAGACGGAGGCATGGCCACATCCTCAGACGATGCCGGCAAGTCAAGAGAAGAGCTGTGGCCGCTTGGAGGGAGGCATTTTCTTTGGCAGCGATGCCTGGCACTTGTGTGTGTGTGAGAGAGAGGGGGTTGTGTGTGTGTGTGTTTGTGTGCCTGCGTTTGGAAGTGAGTTGTTTTATCCAAGAGATCGGATATCATAGATCAAATAGCAGGCAGGCTAAAGAGGAGGCGAGGAAGAGAGAGAGTGATGGGGAGAGAGAGAGAGAGAGAGAGAAAGAGTCGGGAGTGAGAGTAAGGGGGAGGGAGGGAGATCAAAGAGAGGATTTGTGCAGACAGAGGACAAGTGAACGGAGAGAGGGTAAGGACAGCCGGCGAGATAAGAGCCTCTCCACGGTTGGGCTCTAAAGGAAACAGGGCATGTTGGCTAAGAAGGGCCACAGCGCTAGCGAGGGGGCTCCCGCCCTCACCATGTTGGGGGCAGATCATGTAACCGAGGCAGATTACAAAGCCCTTCATCACGCCCACAGAAATCAGGCGGCAGAAATCAAGCGTGAATTGTTGTTGGTATGGGCTGCCAACCTGTCTTGTGTGTGACTGTCTAGAATCAAAGAATCACGGACTTGGAAGGGAACTCCTGAGGCCATCCAGCCCAACCCTCTGCTCAAGGCAGGAATTTCAGTCAAAGCCGATCTGGCCAACTGTGGTCCAGTTTTCCTCTTGAAAGCCCCCAAGTGTGTTTGGAAATGGCCTTTTAACCCATCCCAGATTGATGGGAAGCAACAATTGCTTCTCTACAATCATATCTGATGTGTTTCCTCCTTGGCAATGTGTTAACAAACACCTGAATGCTCCAAATGAGCAAACTGCTAAAACTTCAGCTTTTATACAGGTGGTCACGCTTGCTGAGGATCTGTTACTCAAGGGCATTTGGTTAGCAGCACCTGGCTGCTACTTTGCCTCTTCATTCCTATGGGAACAGAGTGTACTGTACTTAGTTTTTCACACATGGCATCTCCATTTTGTTTCTATTTTTGTCAAATAAATCACGACATGGTGTAATACGCCCTGTGTTGTTGTTCATCTGAGGTAGTATTGACCTAATCTTCAGACCTGCTAAGGACCAGATGATTTTTGTTATGTCATTAGAATTCAAAGAGGGTGTAATGCCTGTCCTGTAAGCTTATCCTGAATGTGAGGATGACACAAAATTGGGTGGAGCAGCTAATGCTGCGTAAGACCAGAACAAAATTCAAAAAGATCTGGATAGGCTGGAGTGCTGGGCTGAAAATAGGATGAAATTTTGACAGGATTAAGTGCAAAGTTCTGCACCTGGGGTGGGAGGGGGAACCCAAATGCACAATTACAAAATGGAGGATACTTGACTCGGTAATATCACAAGTGAGACGGATCTTGGAATTATGGCAGACCACAAGCTGAATAGGAGCCGACAGTGTGACGTGGCTACAAGAAAGGCCAATGCTATTTTAGGATGGATTAACAGGAGTCTCCAAATCCTGAGAGTAATTAATCCCCCTTCATTTGGGACTAGTTAAGCCTCACCTTGAGGATTGTGTCCAGTTCTGGACACCACACTTCAAGAAGATTGAATATCAGGAAAAACTTCAACAGTTAGAGAATTATGACAATGGAACCAATGACCTGGGTGCTGGTAGGATGATTATATGTACAGTTATACCAATATTCTTTTCCTTCAGTATCTTACCAGTTAGCAGGATAAGAAGACACTTTTTAAAAAATGGCATTGCATTCAGAGCAAAACATTGGCGTATTGCTGAGTTTTCTCACCATGCACAAAAGTGTAACCCCCCTTTTTTCACCTCTGGGTCAGATTTTAGTCCAAGGCAGAAAATAATTATTATCTCGCCCCAGTTTCCATTAAACACAGTTTCTTTAAACTTTTAGTGTTGGACGAGTAAGGGAAAAATCTGTTGCACATGTTGTATATATTAGGTGCAGTGGAATTTCCATAAAGCACTAGTTAGAAATAAAAAGAAGTGTTTGAAAATCATTGTGTGTTTTTTTAAAATAAAAACCAGCATTAAAAATCCCCGCCAATAAAGATTCATCTTA